TGTTGCCACTTCTCCCTCAGCCTCCGGAGAATCTAACAGGGACAGCTCATCTGCTGACTCCTCACTGGAGTCCTGAGGAAGAGACTGACCAGGACACTGACCAACAAAAGGACCTTGTCCACTTCCTTGAGTGTAACAGAATCAAACTCAATCCAGATAACATCACAAGACTGTTCCCTGGGCAACTCATTAGGATTTGCCCAGTCAGAGTCTAACTCCGAGCAAATCTGACCAACTTGTCTGCCAGACAGTATGAATATTCCTCACTGCAGCCCTGGAGATGATCCTGTGGCCCAAGCTCCCCTGACAGGGAGTAAGTCACCCTAAACAGGGCCACTGGGTGGCTATCAGCAGACATAGTAAAGGTGGAGGAATAGCAACGTTTCGCCACCCTTATCACCATGATGTAGGGCCAAATGTGGGCTCTTATACAAGTTTCAACTGGAATCACTCTTTGTCTTCTCCAAAAGAGCTCTATGCATCACTTCTGGTGTTTCATCTCTCAGAGCTCCTCAGAAAACCAAGGAGCACCCCAAGACTGGCGCACAGGAGTAATCCAGTCCAGGGCCTCTGTCACATGCCTATTCCAGGCTGCAGCCAATGCTGCAGCCAAAGTGCCTGACAGGTCCTTGGGAAAAACTCCAAGCTCCCTCTGGAACTCAGTAGGATCCATCAGTTGCCTGGGGTGGGCCAGCTGAATAGGCCCTATGTGTTGTGTGTACAAGATGCATATAAACATGGGGCGGAGCTTCAATCATGTGCTCTCTTGACTTTTTCTGCTTCCCCCATGTGGACATGCTTGAAACAATGACAACTTCTGAATTGTCCTCGAGGGGCAACCTCGTGGTTCTAGATTATACATTTTGGCTCAGATGACTGCACAGCTAAGAAAGTGTCCCTGGCCCTGGCCCCAGAGAAGACATTTCTTCAGTCCAAAACAAATCCTAAGCTACCATAATGAAGTGTTATCCAAAATGCCACTCAGCCTGCTTGCTTGCCCACATCCATGGCATTCTTCATTTCCCACCCAAGAAACAAACACCATTCTTTACCCAACTCCCTCCATCCCCAGAGAATGACCACCTCCATCTGGGACACAGAAAGCATTCTCACCTACCTGCTCCATGGTGGCTTCGTGCAGTTCATTGAGATTCAGTGTGTAAATGCCCTCTTCAGTCCCAAAGATAATGTACTGATCTGTAATATGGTGGAAAGACAAACTAACTTAGCTAGTTCAAAAAAATGAAAGTAACAAGGGATCTCAAATTTGCACATATGTAGTAATTTTTTACCTTTGGTGTCTGGGTGTATCCATGATGTGGCACAATTGATCTTCAAAGGGCAGCCATCAAACACTTTTGAAAAACATGCTCCCATCTAGAACAGCATTAGTAAACAAAATGCATCCCAATTTACAGCAGGAGAAGTTTCTATTCCTTCTGACCATCATTATTACCTTCAAGTGGCATAAACAATGGCCAATTAAAGTCTCTGAGGTCAGAGAAAAAGAATAAATCCTGGATTACTGTGAGGAACTTGGATGCCATACAGAGATCTTGTTTTCTCACATTTCCTTCACAATGGGAAGATGTTTGTTTCTGTCTACCCTGTTCCCAATATCTATAATTTGGAACGGCACAGAACAATGAAGATGGTTAGTTAGCCACTATTTTTAAACACTTGCTTCTGTAGCCCCCAAAAGACATGAAATATTTATCCATATTAGTTCTAGTTTAAGATGTGGGTCTGTTCCATTAGCCAGTAAGATCTTGCCATGGGGCCAAACTCTCACAGCCTTCACTTTTATGCATTATTCCCAATCACAAAATTGAGCAGAGGTGGGGGCACACCTCTTTCTGAAAGGTTCCAGGCTTTTAAAGGGAGGGATGGAGGCTAGGATCCAAAGGAGGGGAAGAAAAGAGTTTGCAATGGGGAAAAAGGGTGGAGATGGTCCCTATTTAGATCGGAAACAAAGTTTGAAATTTAACGGCTGAACAACATCAACATACCTTATTTCACTTTTAATGAAAGGACTTACCAGCACTTTTGGTGTTGGTGGGAGGCCATTGATTGCTGGCTTCTGTCAACAATAACAGCAAAAGGTTATGTTTAAAGAAATTGGCCAAATTTTAATTCAATTTAATTTAATTCAATCTGAAATATTTTAACATCCCTTAGTACATGGAAAAACTACTATTAAGAATGAATCAGGCTGCTCTGTCCTTGTTATTTATGGGAATGCTTAATAATTAAATTTGTATATGCATTAAGATATTCTGCCAAGATCTTTCTCTCCAGGTGCTTTTATCAGACATTTGGTATATGTCAACAATGAAAGTGTTTTCTTGGCAGAATTCCTCCTTACAGAGGGATTCTAGTGCCAGGCTAAAGTGCTTTTCTCCTCCAGAAGAGTATTATATGTGCATGTTTTTAAAGTGTTTTGATTTGTGTCTTGATGAACTGCACCTTGCTATGGCATGCTAAACAGAGTATTATTTAAATGTTTATTTAAAACATTTTCAGTAAAGTAAATATTTGTTAGCAAACGGATTTTGAAAAAAAAAATTAACTTCCAGGATCTCTGGAATGTCGAGTTGCATTAGTTGGAGAAAGAGATATGAAGATGGTGCATAAACAGAGGGTTTATATCCCTCTTAGCCTCAGAGGGTGGCTGGGGTTAGTCACTCTCAGCCCTATTACCGAATTGTCACTGTGGGGATAAAATTAAGGGGATCCCTTTGTAAGCTGCCTTGAGTGACTGGAGGAAAGACAGGTTGAGGAAAACCATGAAAATCTGGGATGGAGGAGAGACAGCTCACCCACTGACTTGGACCATCTTCCCGACCCAGAACTTTCCGGATGTGTTGGAATGACAGCTCTCAGAATTCCCAGCCAGCACAGCCAACAATCTTAACACAGCCAGCAAGTCCCAGGCTGAAAAAGGTTGCCCAAATCTTGAACTATTCTGGAACAGATGTGTGTGCATGCGCTGCCAGGACAGTGCCACAGGTTCAAAACAAACATGGAGATTTCAGGGGTGGAAAAAACAATTATTTCCTTGCTTGCATTTCAATCCCCTCTCCCCCTGCCATCTGAGTGTGCCCCCTTTTCTTGCCTGCCCCTCTGTAAGCAATGATGAGCAGGAAAGGACAGACTGAACCAGTGAGAAAGAGCAAACAGCAATTAAGTGTTCACTTTGCTGAAGAAAAGACATAAATGCCCACCAGGAATTCCCGCTTCTCCTTTTTCCGTGGCAGTTGTGGCACGTGACCCAGCCCGTCAGCATTTTCCTCAAGGTGTTTTGTCACAGTGTCCCCATTGCCTAAACAGCAGAATCATAAACAGGAGTAAGCCCCGCATGAAGAAAAATGTGAAAAAATATGAATCAGGCAATGGCAGAGGGCAAGGATACCCTTCCCTTTGTCCCAGGGCTGCACAGATAGGGGGCAGACTCGCTAGTCTTCCAGGGGACTAAGGGCCATTGAGAATCTGTGCCCCATCTTACAGGAAGAATTTCATGCCAATGGGGAGACTAAACCAACCCCAGTCATGAGATACGGAAATGGCAATTGCTACTCTGCAAAGCTACATTTTTCCTCCTTGATAGTTCACAATGCTGCTGGGGCCAAGAGATGCAAGGCAATGACCAGGATTTTCCTTTTCCCCCTGGACCTTCCCCCTCCCCCACTTTTACAGATTCTGCCTATTCTAGGGCTTATGCTGTAGTTTTCATGGGTCTCCTGCCTCTCAATGGCAAGTAACCATGCTGCCAAACTTTGATATCATAAATAAAAGAGATTCCAGGGGCAACAAAAAGGGGTTCAGGGGCTGCAGCTTGCAGGAAAGTAATTTTTGATTCTCTGTTGTTCTCAGGAAACAATTAAGGGATTTAAAAGGTTTTTTTATTATTATTTTTTATGCCATATACTGAAATTTAGGATAAGTGGCACAATTGACAGAATTTGTAGAAGACAAAGGTTCCATCCAGCTCCTGTCCTGAAGCCTGCAAGTTGGCTAAGAACAAGTTACTATGGCTGAATCAAATGTTTTTATATTTAGTTATACTGTGAACTGACCGTTACTTTTTAAGAGACCCCTGAATTAAAATTTAAGTTCTTTGCATTCTGATGCAAACTGTTTTGGGCACTTCAATTTAAAGAAGTCATGCTATTTGTTGAAGGGAAAATATTCATACAGGGGAATAATGCACTTGGATATCCACCCATGGAGAACATGATAATTCCATCCTCCTCCTCTTTTCATTCTGAATGTTCCAGGATAGCTGTAGCCTGTATCTGAGCATAAAGTGGTTGAATTTGGAAACTACCTGCAAAGGTCTCCTTTAATATATGTTTCATCTTATATATTTTGGGAAGTCATGATGAAAATGAATGAACTATGAAGGGAAGAGAACTCTGCATACTGTCGAGCATGGCAGAACTAATCTTCAGTCAAGGAACACTATTAGTTACCCAAATCGCTGTATCTAGCTGTGAGCAGACCAGGGCTGCTGATGCTGCTGGTCATGCCAAATGCGGATGGCTCCATCTGAGGCCCACAAACAGGGATGCTTTGTCTCCGGTGGCCTGGTGAGGCTTGATTTTGGAGATCAGGACAATACTTGATTGTCTGGGACTTCTCGTTGTCCATGAAAATTTCTTCTAGTCGAGGCTAGAGCAGAAACACAGAACATGAATATTGCTTTTTCCCTGGACACTTTCTATTCCTGAAGAAGTGATCAGGCCTAACCTGTTCCCTCTTTCCCCATGCCTGCACTGCTCTTTATGCCCCATGTTTCTCCAAAACAGCCTCTCCTGCATATGAGAACCTCTCTATGTATCTCTAAGGTACTCTTCAACACTAAAAGTGTTAGCATTTTACCCAGAGAAAGAACATGTACAATAATATTAAATAATGTGAAAACTAGCAGCCTAGGTAGAGAACAAGAACTAGAAAAACAGTCCCTGAAAATGTGTGACCAATTGCAATAAACTGAACAATGGATGGTATATAAAAGTTTATTACTTTTTATAAAATCCCATTCCTAAACAGCTTCCTTAGTGTGCAACTGTTGATTTGTGCTTAGACATATGTAATTACCTTTGGAGGCAGAGGAGGGGGTCCTGCTCTTTTCAATGTTGATCTAAAAAAAAGTCCAACAAAAGTGTTTATTCCCAACTAGTAAGGTAGCAGCGCTACTATCAAGAAATAATTATTGCTCACAATGTCAAAAAGCTGGTTAGTTGTCCAGCATGGTTACTTTGCAATAGCAGCCTCTTTGTTTCAAATGGAATTATTAAAGGAGGCAAGTAAGCAAAGAATACTGATAATTAGCAAAATAAAAATACACAAAGACTACCCCTTTTGAGATTTCTTTCTCCTTCCTAAATGGGCATATATCATATCCCTGAAAATACTTCAATTCTGCCCCCTCCCACACAAGGTCTCCAGACCAGAAAAGGCATCTCAAATTTCTCTGGTCTTCCTCAAGCACACATGCTACTATCCATGTGCTTTTCTGCTCTTACACATGTAGAATAACAGACTTTAAGAATCACACACAGTCATCTAGTTCAATCTCTATGAATGCAATCTACAGCTACAACATCCCTAAGAAATGGCCATCCAGCCTCAACTTAAAAATCTCCAAGGAAGGAGTTCTGTGGCCATCCATCTAGTCCCAAATAGACTTCTAGTAAGTCTATGTGGAAAATGAAAGAGAATCCTTACCACAGCTCCTAACACTTGGTTAGGATGAGCTAGGATTAATCTGGTCAGATGTTTTATTGATTCTTTTTAAAAAGTGCGCTGCATATAGAAATAGCCCTGGTGTTGCCATCCCTTTATTTTTTTCCACCAGTTAGGAATTAAAAATTAAGAGTGACTTGAAACCCACCCAAGGTTTGGGATGATTTGTTTGCATCTTGACTGACAGTGCAATGCAATGTTGCAGAATGGTATAGATTTTTTGGGGGGGACGGGGGGGACAGTATGCTTTCTCAAACATGCTGGCTAAGCAAGCTGGAAAGTTGTAGTCTCGGGGGATATCAAATTCCTTAACGGTCATTGCACTGGGTCTGTAATATGAGTGGAATCCCCTTCCAGAATCATCTGTTCTTCTGTGTATCTTTATGTTATAAGTCCATGGTGCAAGAAGGGCAAGATAGCTTTGCTTGTATCCAACGTGATTTCTATGATATAGCTTTCTCTGTGTGAAAGAAACGTAAGCCCTCTTTGAGGCAATGATTATCAGGCAGCAACGACAAATTGTCAAAGGTCAATAAGAAAGCACTCACTCCTCAGCATCTTCATGGCCATCACCAAATTTGGTAAGATGTCCCCTAGATGAAATGTTAATAAAATTAAAAAGGAAGAAAAACACTGTAAATCAAATAAAAATCCAGTTTGAGCGAGGGCAGCTGAAAGGCATCTATTTCTGTGACAGCTGAGAAGAAAGAGTGGCCAACTTGGCAGAAATGTACTCTATAGGAAAAATAACCCATAGAGGAGACCTGGAAGGAGCCTAGATTCCCTGTATCATCTCCATCCACATAGCAATTATATGAAAGGAATTCAGATATATCAAAGTACTCCATTCAAAGCCCTGTAAAATAGGCCACTCTCTGCATCTGAGATATAGTGAGCAAGAGAGAGGAGGCTCACCAAACAGCTCGCTTAAGGTTACTTTTAGGCTCACAGCTGGCAGCCATCTGGACCGCAGTCCATTTTCTCATCTACTAAGTCACACCAGACCCCTAATGCTATCTCATTAACTTTGATACGCTTTAGTGGGCCTTCAGTTATCCAGTGTTATCAGTCTCAAGACAGTGAAAGGTTAACCAGGGTTGGGGGAATTACAGATCTCTAAATCTAGGACCCCACTGGCATGATCCTGCCTTTTGGTAAGGTAAGACATAGATGGCCAGCTTTGACTGATTCCATTTCAGTTAAGATAGGGAGGACAAGAAACAACAGAGCTTAGCTATTAAAAGGTCTAGAAGCCTGAAAAATGAAATACAAGTTTTCAGCACTGCTCCTTGTGACATACTTTTCCCACACAGGAGGGAGATCTACAATCTGAGCTCGGAGGGGAAGGCTGATTCCAAATAGAGTGACAGTCACAGTTCACCTATTCTTCCCAATAAAGATTAGGAGGAACAGTAACAGGGAGGGGGAAAGATGAAATGCAGAATCAACAGGTTCCCCACAAAGACAGATAATCACAGAGATAGAAGGAACATAGAGTCCAACCCACTACTTCAGTAGGAATTCAATTTATAGTATCCAGCTTCTGACTGATAACACTGTGAGGTGGGGAACTACCACTGTCTTTGGTTAATGGCTGTATTGTCAAACTCTTAATATTAGGAAGCAGGGTCTGTGGAGGAGGAGGAGAAGTTAAAATGGCAGCCATGATCACACAAAGTCACGCCCCTCTCAATTTTTTTGTTAACCCTCCCATGGATATCCCTGGTATGAAATTTTTCCTTACATTCAGCTGGATTCTGCCTTTGTATTACTTGTCCATTATTCTATGTCCTGGGACAAAATTGAATAGGTTGTGCCCCATATTACATCATCCTTTGCTTTTCATCTTATAGTTTTATACTTCTATACCCTTTTTATAGTGTACTGTTTTATGCTGGTCTTTGGCCATAATAAAGTTTGCTGTTGTTGAACAGGTTGTGGCCATCTTTTATGTAAATACCCCTTCTGATACTTGAAAAGTATCCTATCTCCCTTTCATTTTTTCAAAGCTAATTTCCTCAGTGTCTCCTGGTAGGACTTCATCTCTAGTCTCCTGAGCTTGCCAAGGAGCTACACTTCAAAATGTAGATGATGGAATACATGGCAAAAACTATAGTTGACTGAATTTCAATTCTATCTAAATTTAATTAAAATTAAATATAGATAGCATAATTACATACTTGTATCTTATTTAATATTTCCTCCTTTTTGTCATTTTAGAAATTACAATTCTGTAGGTTTAGACTTCTGAGGGCTAAATGTAGTCCTATGGTTTTAGGTTGTGCCTGTTTGAATTTAGGCTATATTGCTGACATGACTGGCAGCAGCTCTCAAGGATTTCTGATACCTTTGCAATCCTACATGGACATAGCGGATTAGAATGCCAAGAACTGAACGTTAGTGAATCTAAGCCAGTGGTTCCCAACCTTTTCTATGCCCCACACCACTAGGAAATGTTTGATTAATGTTTGTACTCTCTACAAAAATAATATCACATTTGAAGATGAAGAAGTCTAATTTCTAATGTGGGTGAACAAACTGAACTTAAAAAAAAAAAGCTTTTAACTCAGTGCATAAAATTGTTGCACCCCCTGAAATTCCATCGTGTACCCCCAGGGGTGTAGGCACCCTAGATTGAGAACCCCTCATCTAAACACTAAAGAAGCAAGAATCCCTCCTTGCTCCCTCATGCCATTCTTGGATTAATTTTACTTTAAAATACAACAATGAATAATTTTAATGTTATTTAGATTTAGATCTATGTTTTAACTATATCTACAATATGTTCTCATCTCCTTCTCTCATTTATATATATTTCTGGCTACAGGCCCAGATGTGGAACTAACAATGAGCAGGAATGGGAAGAGACACAGTAGTTGAGGCACCAAAGGATGAATTCAGGAAAGCCAGTGGAAATAGAGCACGTTTGGACACGACATTGCAGGTTCAATCCTTGATCTCTTCAGATAGGATTTGAGGAATGGGTAGGACAGATCCCTGCAAGAGATTTTGGAAAGACAGTATATGGTAGATTTATTGTGGGAATAAGAGATTCTGGTACCTGGCTAGATAGGCTATCTTGTCTGATTTTTTACAATGGGCTAAATTTGAAAGGAAAAAAGGATAGTATCATTTTAATCAATGTGTGGGAGCAGGTCACATTATCTGGTACTTTGACTTATGTGTTATTGCACTTTTAAAATGTTGATCTTTTTGTGTGATCTTAAACTGTACTACTGACTACTGCAAATTGCCCTTGGGTTTATCCTGAAAGGAACTTTAAAGATCAAATCAGTCACATCATCCATATTAATTATGCCTCACTGTTCTGAGAGAACCCCATAGGGTCATGATATGCTTCTTATTAATGTTAGAGTTTTATGACCCAGTACAACAGAGTTATTGTGTGCGACTGACATGTGGTAAGGCAAAGATATTGGGAATGGAAGGTAAATTGGACCTATGTAAGTCCACAATATTTTCAGATGCCACAGTAATGAAGTTCCAGCAGTTAAAAAGATGAAATTATTATAATTTCTCATGAATCTATGTCTCTGTTAAGGGATGATATGCAGCAGGCTCCAACATTTAAATGAGATGAGCATTGAAATAGGATTAGGATGCCTAAACTATCTCCTTCTTCAGACTGACATAGACTGTCTATGACAGTCTTCCCCAACTGTGCGACTGACTCTGGCTTTGTGGGTCTGGAACTGCAGGAATTGCATCTGGAGTGTTATCAGGCTGGGGCAAGCTAATTTTCAAAATATTGTGAATTCCCTCAATTTATGCTGGGGGATTTTAACACTTATATTAAGCTTCCCCCACCAATCCTCCCAGGAGCACTTAGAAATTTATAGTTTCCTTGGCCATCATAAGCTTGCCTCAATTAATATCTGACTCTACACTTCTGGCAGGAAACTTTATTGATCAAAGTTTTGCTCAGAATATCTGTGGACTGAAGAGTTTGAAAAAAAATGTTAATAGAGTTTACATTTGCTGTGATTCTGATGATCCTCCCTCAGAGATGGTATAAATAATTCAGAAAAGAAGAAGAGAAACTACATGTTTATTGGAAACTTTATTCACTGAAACTCAGATTTAAAGTAGCCTCTATTGATCAAAATCATAGCTAGCGAAATGGCCCTTTCACACAGAGCCGAACCCTAATGAAGTCATAAATCAAAGCAGTGTGTTTTCTAGTGAAATCCAAGAATGCAAAACGCTCCTCCAAAGTCAAAGCTAAAAAAGCTTATTTTTTTCTGCCTGGTGGTGACAGTATCCAGGATTCCAGGCCTCCAAAACCCCAAGCATTTCCTGTTTATGCTGCTGGGCAGAACATGATCTCCAAGGGAGTGGAAATTACATTTGCCTGATTGGACATTAGGGGCTCTCATATTCCACTTTATCACTGCAGCTGATGAATGTGTTAACACCTGGCCTGCAGCAACACTGAATCATCTGCACCCGAGAAGATTTCATTTCACCCAAAGTGGCAGTGAATGCTAGACCCAAGCCCGAAGCTTGTTTCCTGCAAGTGCTTTTCTTATCAGCTGCCTGGTCCTGGAAGCCACTGCAGGACATGCCAGCCCAAAACAGCTGTAAAGGCAAAACCTCCCCCGTGCAAACAGAGAAAGCCATCAGGCCCCACAAAAATATCACAAATATTTACAAACCAAGAGGGACAGATGAGGAAACAGAATTCAAAGCCACCAGGATTACAAAGCCCTTTGCCTTCAGTGGCAACAAGCTACAGTATAAAGGAATCCATTTATTCACATTTATTCCTTCTTATGCCAGCCTTCCTATATTTTCTCTGGTGTCAAAAGTAGTCAGCTTCCAAAGGCAGAGATAACAGTTACCATTCCTCTTCACTCTTCAATTATGACTTTATAATTAGTAGAGCTTTATGAAAAATAGGAAAACTGTAATGTAACAGACCGGCCAAAGGAGGAATGCATTGAGGAAAAAGAATGCCCACACAAATAGAGGTTATACGGTTATAAGGCCAAATTCAAGGCAAATTTAAGGCAAAATTATTTCATTATGATGAGCTGCTTCTCCCATAGAAGTAGTAATTTTCTGTTTGCATGCTAACATGAGAAACCTGTGGTCCTCAAAGCTCTCCCTTTAACCCATGAGATGTCACATTACTTGACTTGGAATTATCCTAAAGAACAACTTTCCTAGACTAGTCCTTCTGGCTGCAGAGAAATACTGAAGTGCAATAACACTGATATCAGCCTCCCCCAATTTGGTGTGATCTAGAAGTATTGGACTTACTCCCATAATCCTCACTAAGCAGGGCTGGGCTTCCTGGGAGAACGGTAGGGACTACCTAAACATCTCTGGATGAGGGAGGCTACCTTGTGAATTGTTTAGAACAGTGTTGTCCAAACTTGGCCACTTTAAGATGAGTGGACTTCAACTCCCAGAATTCCCCAGCCAGCATGCTGGCTGGGGAATTCTGGGAGTTGAAGTCCACTCATCTTAAAGTGGCCAAGTTTGGACAACACTGGTTTAGAACATTACGAAGAATTCAAAATTAGTTCTCATCCATTCAGGGTTAAGCGTAAGAGAATTGCTATCTCAATAAAGAAGCTGTCTATAAGCTTATAGCTATGAACTAAAGACACTGCAGCAGTTATATTAAACATGCCTGAGGCTGAAAATGCAATCCAGACTGAAAAACAACATGTTCACTCTCCCAGCAGATTCTATCCCATGTATCAAATGAGGTTTCTACAGCCACATATAAAGTGCCCTTATCTCTCATTCTGTGCTGTAAGAAGCAGCAAAAGACAATAAGAATATGTTTAAAAATATCCATACTTCTTTATATCTTATATATCTTATTCTTTAGGACCCCAGATTGGGCAAACTGCAGCAACAGCCATAGCAAGCAGAGTGCTTCCTGGCCAATTTCCATAACTTCAGAGCACAGAAATGCAAGCTGAGGGCAGCTTCCAACAGATTGGCCATGCTGAAAAGCAGGATAAGGGCATCCTGTTGCTTAAACAACCAGATCACAGATGGGCAACATTTGCAGGATGGAGGACCACAACTGAGCCCCTCACCCTTCTGAAGGACACAGAGGACAGACAGGTTTTAATCAAGGGTGTATGTGTGTGCATGAATCAGAGGGAGAGAGAGAGAAAATTAATTAATTAGGTTGTTTCTTTATTTTAATTTTGGTGCTACTAGTCTCCAGAATGATTCTGGAAAACCAAATAAAATAAATAAATAATGCTGGAAATGGGGACAGAAGAGCCTCTGAATGGCAAACTGCTTCCATTCTCATCCTTAAAATCACCTGTAACCCTGAAAAACAGGTCAAAATCATGCCCTTGAATTTTAGCAGTGCAATTCTGGGGGGCTATATGCAGTCTCTAGGTTTCTTACCCCTAGGAGGCTGAAAGCCTGCAGCAAATGTAGTCCTGCCCTTCTTATTACAGTGGGTTTGCCAGTCCTCTCAAACTCATACTGAGCAATGTGTCCTACAGTCTCCAATGTCTGCTCCCCCTCCAGCTTTCCTCTCAATGGAGTGTTTAGCATGAAACTGCTTGTTATTTATTCAAGACAAAGCCATGGCAAGACTTACTTGGCACAACCTCCACCATCAGCGAAAGGACTCCAATGTGAAGCAAAGGGTGCTCCAGCTGGTATTCCCTGCCAATGTAGAAAACCACAGATAAATAACTTCTCAAGAGGAGTCAATCCTCTAAAACAAGGATTAGCACTGCAGCAATTGAAATCAAGCTTTAAATCTACAATTACAGATGAGGCAAAACAATTTCCAAATTAGATACAGGACTGGCTTAGTTCTAGTCTAGAAAATTTGAGCAAGTCAAGGCCCAGCGGAGTATGGGAGGTAACAGGAGGCAAAGCCAGGCTTCAGCCTCACATAGCCAAAAGCAGCTGCTATAATGGGACAGACTAATAGCTATGAAATACAGGTAGTCCTTGCTTAACGTCCATTCGTTCAGCGACCATTCAAAGTTATGACGGTGCTGAATGAAGGGACTTACAACCGGTCCTCAAAGTTCTGGCCATTGCAGCACCCCTGCAGTCACATGAACAAAATTCGGGCCCTCTCGGGCCCACCTGCATTTACAACTGCCTTTTGGCTGCCTGCCTACCCGCTGCTGCCAGCTGCCCCTGCCTGCATCTGCCACAGCTGCCACACCACACACCATTACTGCACCACCCAGGGCCTTCTTCTGCACTGCCTTCTTTTGCGCCGGTGCAGCCGGGGCTTCTTTCATATCCCGCCCAGGGCCTTCTTTCATGAAAAAAGCCTGGTGCGCGAAAGAAGGCCCCAACTGTGCCAGCGCAAAAGAAGGACCCTTATAGCCGGGTCCTTCATTTGTGCACCAGGCTTCTTTTGCAAAAGAAGGCCCTGGGCGGGGTGCAAGAGAAGCCCCAGTTGCACCAGAGCAAAAGAAGGGCAGAGATGGGGGGCAGATAGGCAGGTGGGGGAAGTTTGAGAAGAGGCAGAGGACGCAGTCACTTACCTTACTGAGGCTTGGGGCTGGGAGGGACCAAGCTGGGAATGGCTTGGATCAGGATGGATTCTTGTCTAACAACCGGTGGGATTCAATGAATGACAGCAATGGGGAGTGCTAGGATTGTCGTCACTAAGCAAAGGGGGTCACGTGACATTGCACTTTACAACCACATCACTTAGTGATGGAAATTCCAGTCCCAATTACCATTGTTAAATGAGGACTACCTGTAGTTAACAACAATATATTTTTATATTTACTTATATTACATGTTATAGCCTAAGCTTTAAGGAAATACCATTTGAAATACAGGACGTAAGGCTCAAATTCTTTGAAGTCTTAAGAAGATATAGGGGAAGGGAAAGAAACTGATAACTCCATTAATCATTTGATGTTCTGGATGCCTTAGCAGAGTAGCAATGACATACACAACTGGAGTCCGGCCACAACTACAGAATATATTTTAGATCAGTCTTTCTCAACCTCAGCAACTTTAAATGTGTGGTCTTCAACTCCCAGAATTCCCTAGCCACTTTTGTGACACCAAAATAAAAGAGAATCTTAATTATTCATCTCTAATCTAATAAATCTGACCAACCCTTCTTTCCATATTAAATGTATTACGATACACTACTCATTAGAATCAAAGAATATCTGGAAGGAGTTGCTGCAAATTAAAATTACAGAGAGAGCAGAGGGAGGAAAAATTAGTCAGTTCATACCATTTCATCCCGGGCTTCTGTCTCTTTCCTTAAAGGTGGTTCAAACTGCAACTTGTCAACTGTAAAACATGGACATTTACAATTTTACTTAAACATGACATTCTCCTGCAGTAGATTTTAAAACATTCTCAGTATCATGTCCTTTCAAAAGTACACACACACACACACACACAATATTACAAAAGAACCCATCCTATTAAAAGCTCAAGTATGTCAAACTTCTAGAAGTCTTCATTCCGACAAGAATCAGCATTTTTAACGCCAACTATTCTCCTTTAAAATATCAATTAAAATATGAGGTTTGTGATTCTTGTCTCCTTACATCATATTACTAAGGAAACTAGAATATACTGTTCCATATTAAAATAATTGGTATTTTATATTAATTGATTTGTTGGTTTCCCTCAGGATTTTCTTTTCTTTTTTTAATACGGAACAGTATGTTGTAGAATAGTGAATCAGTTTGGTGTAATGATTAAAGGCATCAGGCTACAAAGCAGAAGACTGAGTTCCAGTCCTCCCTTAGGCATGAAGCTAACCAGATGATTTGGGGCCAGTCACCCTCTTTCAACCCTAGGAAGAAGGCAGTGGCAAACCACTACTGAAAATATTGCCAAGCAAATGGCATGGAGTTATCCAGGCAACAACCAGGCATCAAGACTGAGTCAAAGACGTGTCGGTGCACATACACACACACGGAATGGAATACTTATAAATGGTGAAATGATGTGAAGAGGATTTTAACAACAGGGGTTTTTTGCAAATGTCAGAATACCAATTTTCTGGGGTAATATTGATATTATTGTAAACATTTGGACAAAACAAACAGCAAGGTTGCTCCTGGTGTATGAAGCATTTTCAATGGGTGTGGTTCCTCTTTCTGATGCAACAAACCAAGCATAAATGAATTTATAGTGAACAAACACTGTTCATTTTTTTTCAAGATTTTGCCCATGTAAACTAAGCATGGAACTTTCTGGAAAGGCCAGAATGATTGAGGAAGTCCAGTGCCAGTTGGGAGACAGAATCAGTATCTCCCCCCCCCTTTTTCTTGGAGACCCTAGAAAACAGTCAAAGAAACTTGCCAAGGATATAGTCTCAACTCAATTTAGCATATTTTATTTTATTCTATTCTTCAGAACACCCTTCCTGAACTTAGAAAGGATGCTGAGAGTTGTAAACCATCAGATCTAGAAGATACTAGAGTGGGAAAGACTGCTTCAAAGATGAACACCTCAATTTAACTTGGTGTTTGACAGGGGAAGAATATTTTAGTTTTAAAATATACAGGAAACTCACAATTTATTTCAGATGCTGTCCTTTCTGCTCTGACATTTCTGTTGGTAGAGCGAATCGTGTGGCGAATAATTGGGTGTGGCTACAGGATTCAGAAAAGCAGACATTCAGAGCTCCTCCTGAACTTAAAAAGAATTTCTTCCACAATCCCAACACTCACATGTTTTTGCAGCTGGGATTTTTTTCTACCTGTGGTTTGTACAAACTTTCCAAGAGTTCACTGAAGTTCCTGGTTTTATAATGCTTTACATAATACTTTTAACTTTGTAGAATTAAAAAAACCTAAATAAATATTTTTAAAATAGAAAAAAGACTTTTAAAATGTTTTGCATGAAATAAATACAATCTAAGACATTTCACTACCTGTAATAGTCTGATGCTAATTTATATAATGTCTGTGAAGCAAAATTTACATTTTTAAAGAAACCATACAAGTTGTCAGATTAAAGACTGGGGCTCTGAAAACAGGATGAGGGGCAGGACAAAACTGAAAAATTTTAAGAAAAGAGATCAATTGGACCTTGGAACTGGATAATTTCATATCAGAGGATTTTTCAATATTTGCCCCTGATGTGTTATTAATATTTAATAATATGTAGTAGAACATTCAAGAATCTATAATTTATGCAACCAAACAGTAGCATTCTGTACCAGTTCAAGCCTTCAAATCATCTTCAAGATCAGACCTCCCCAGAGCACATTCTAATAGCCAAGGAGCATTCCTTGTGTAAGCGTCCCCGTATCAACCCCTGAGAATGAAATAGCCTAGCTGGCACACAGCTTTTCCATTTCTTCCAGAATTAAAAATAAGATGAGGAAATGGCTAGGAAGGAGAACTCACCTCAAAATCATCATCATCTGCCTCACTGTAATGGGGGTGGTTATCAGGATTGTTCACTTTGTCCAAGAGCTCAACAGCCAGAGACCGAGAAAGACCAGGCTGCCCAACAAAGCTATGCTAAAATATATATATATATATATATATATATAAAAGTGTAAGAGAACAGGTCCAAAATCTTTGTAATGCACGTTGAAGCATGGGTTAAAAAAATTGCCTCTCCTGTTAAGCAGAATTAGCAGCAACTAAGACTCTTGGAGACAACATTCCATGCTCAATGCAACCCACAAGCCATTCAGTCTAAAAAGAACCCCACTAGCAATCCAGTTTCTGTAATCTTTTTCATTTAAGCATGTATGTAAGAGGTAACGTGCTACAAACATTCCATAATTCTAATGTACATAATCTCCCCATAAATATGAGAAGTGTGGTTCTTTCTGTGATTTCCAGGAATTTTTTTTTTTGTTAAAAAAGAAATCTAATTTCATCAATATTTAAAAAGCACAATTTATGTACCAGGCTAGGCACATATTAGAACAGTCTTAACTCAGAAGTATTTATTATAGAAACAAGAGACTTCTGCATGCCTGAAATTTCTTTAATAGTTGTCATATTTTATAGTATTTTTAAAAAGTATGTGCAGGGCCTCCTGATCTACTGAAAGCTTGAACATTTACCCCATTAGTGGTGATGGGACTTTAGTGTTAACCCTCTAAAGAAAAAGAAACATACTTACTGTCAGAAGCCTGTCAGCTGTTGGCCTCTTCTTTGGATTTTTTGTAAGTGCTACTTTGACAAAATTATGGAAAGTTGATGACCTATAAAGAAAATGAAAGATGCAATTTTTATCAAATGTGGTAGTTAATACAGAACTAATGTATAATGGATTAAATAACTTCAAACTGCCATAAATGGAAATAGCAAGTATAGCCTCTCCCAGACTAAGACTCTCCAGATGTGCCGGACAATTCTCAGCATTCCAATTCAACATCAGCAATGACCACTCTGGCTAGGAATTATGAAAATTGTAATCCAATTATATCTGCAGGGTGCCAAGTATGGGAAGATTAAAGTAATGGGACTTGACTTTTTTCTTAATCAAAGTCGGGGTGATCAATTGAGGTTCACATTCCATCAGGTATAATATGCTGAACCCAGTTGTGGGTAGGACTACAAGAAGTATGATGCGATCCCAGAGACAAAGGTAGCTGGGGATAGCTATTCTCTTCCTGATGCCTTTTTTTTCCCTCTTCCAGAGGCTGCTGGGAACTCTTACTATAGGTGTGAACTAATTCCTTGAAGAGGGACTTTGAAATTAGACTGACCAAAGCATGGGCTTAGGATGAGGGACACATGCAGTCATAGAGTTGTAAGTTACTCATCCCTGATCCTAATAGTTGAACCTACTAAAATAGTTCAGTTAATGGGTATGAAGTAAAGAATGAAAGCAATGCGTTATTAGCCCATAATGAATACAGACTGTTGTAATTTCTTTTACATATTGTTTCAGTTCCTGGAGAAAATCCATTTATCTGCTCGCTAAGAGTTGACACTGACTTGATGGCACATAATTAATCTATACATGTACATATATGTATATGTATATGTATATGTATATCTGTATCTAATCTATATCTATATCTTTCAGTTGATCATATGACACTGTTCATAAGAATACTGAACCATCAAGCTCAGAATTCTTCACAATATTTGCTACCTTTTCCTATCCTTCCTATCTGAGATCTTTAAGGTGTTTCCTTACCAACTTAATTAGGGGATAGTGAAAGTTGCAGCTGAACATAACATGGAGGGCATTCAACTGGAGAAGGCTGATAAGCAGAAGTACTGAATGGACCACTTACACAGAGCATTTCTGTGGTACTACTTATTCACACAGGCTCTTATTTTTATCAAAGGATATCTTTATTGTGTGTTAATTGCAACTATGTATTAATATTTGATAAAAGAAATACAAAAACAATAGGAGACAATCTACAAAAATATACATCTATAATACACTAAACAAAACTGTTCTTACAGGTGTACAGTTGAAACTCGAAAAATTAGAATATCGTGCAAATGTTCATTTATGTCAGTATGGCAACTCAAA